TTTCCACTTGCTCTAGTAGAGTGAATACAACTTCTGGAGAAATCCTTATACATTCTGTGTCTTGCATTTTCCCTTTATCTTTCCTCTTTTTCTGTAGTATTAAGATTCATGGGTATTGTCAGGGGAAGGGATCTAATTTATTTTTTCCTATCAACTTAAGACTAATCATTGCAAATTTAATACATGTGTGCCCTTTAAAAAAAAGGACCAGTTTTCCAAAGGTGCAACCCTATTATGGGATGATGTCTTTAACATTAATTGGAAAATATGGTGCTAAAATCCCATAATTGTTTATTCATATCTCATCAATCTATGTTTTTGGTTTAAAATTATGTGGGTGACTCTTATTGGTATAGGAATCATCATTTGCACCAATAAAATCCACAGAAGAAATAGTCTGTAGAAAGAAATTTTATAGGATTTAGCAATAACTATATTCACTTCTCTTGTTTTCCACAGATTTTTCTTCCCAGGAATTAGAGATTTTCATTTGTTCCTTTTCCTCCTCCTGGCTACAAATGTTTGTTGCAGAGGCAGTCTTTAAAAAGTTGTGCTTACAGAGTTCCATCAATATTTCTTCAGAGCCACTCTCTCTTGAGAAAATGGTAAGCACCTCTAGTTCTTTAAATTTGCAAGAAGTGTGTTTTTCTACATCAAAAACATGAAGTAATTAGTGAATAGAAATTTTAATTACTTGAGAGTAATTAAGGATTGATAACAGAAAACTAATACAAGAATCTTTGTTTCCTAATCTCTTGCCATAGTACATAAGATTATTGTTTAGGAAACACCAAGATTGAAAAGAATTCTATTGGGTTGTCAGAAAAGTTATGACGCATGTTTGCAACAGATGGCACTAGTTCATTTTTGGAAGTACTAGAGTCATTCACATCTATGTTATTTCTATGTCATTTGACAGCTGACAGTTCTAGCTTCATTTAAAAAAAANGGCGACTCACAGCAGCCCAGCTCCAGGTTGAGCTGTTGTTCAGCATCTTAGCTGTAGAGGGCAGTGTTACTGGCCCACATATGTGGGATCCGAACCGGGGCCCTCTGGCGTCCCAAGCCAGTTCTTAACCATCACGCCACTCGGCTGGCCCTGTGTGTCTCTAATCTTATCTGTGCCTTATGAACAGTTCCTAGGTTTCTTCCTGCTTGAATACTTAACAGTATTAAAAAATTCATTGAATCAGAATATGTTATAAAGTCACCTGCATAACTTGGGTTAAATCACTGTTTAAAACATTTTTCCCAGGTAACTGTTGCTGTATAAGTTTTTTTTATTGTAATATAAAAAGTTGCTACTATTTGTTTTCCTTTGAGTTGGTGATCTAACAGATAAACCTGGATAAAGCAAACAAGTAATTTATATGTATAAATTTCTCACTCTTTCTCTTCCCCCCATTACCTACTTTAATTTTAAAGTTTCTTCTCAAATAAGTTGGGTGAGGAATATTATTTAAGAAATGTGATGGCAAAGCTCTTTTTCAGGTGTTCACCTTATGAAAGGTTCTTTTTTGGGTCTCCACAGAGAAGGAGGTTTTCATAAGACCTTATGTTCATTCCTAAACTTCAAAGCCAGTTTAGGGAACTACAGAAATCAATCTCTCGCTCTCTCTTCCTCAATTCCTTCTTTCTGTAATCCTGGATTCCTAAAATGAACATATTTTAAACCAAGTGAGCTTTTTGTGGCCCTCAAATATAAAAGATGATTTTTATATACTTAAAAATATTTTACACTGCCAAATAAGTATTCTCTTGTTACACACGTGTTTCTGTGCATCTTGGTTTTATATAAAAGAAAAAGTTCTTGAATATGCTGTCAATCACTTTAATACTTTGAAGAGAGAATCTAGAATAGGAATCCAGGTTATAACTGGATTCAGGATTTATTGGATGATGCCCTCTGCAAAGAGAGGTCTCTTTTTATGCTACTGAAGTTAGAAGATTTTTATCTAAAGCATTTTATCTCCTTTATTTTTTTCTCTTTCTTTTTCATTGAGCTGAGAGGTGATTGCTGTTCCTTTTGTGGAGAGCTGTCCTTTGTTGCATGACTTTTTAACATTTCTTAGCTCAAATTCAATCTTTCTGCAGAGCCCTTTCTTATTTCTTTCCCACCATTCCTACTCGGTAGTTTGTTGTTGTTTTTTTGTTTTTGTTTTTTTACTTAGAAACAGCAGAATTCTGGCATTATTTGCCAGCACGAGAACTAAACATTCAGCTAAAAAGATTCCCTGTTTTCATTCCATAATGGAAATCTCTGAGTTTGGTGATTCATGACGGGATTAACAGTGGCTTCTAAGGCTATTAATATAGTTATATGTGTTGTTTCTAGTATGTGTTGGTTTCCTTTAGGGATATATAACATTACTTTAGCCAAAATGAATCTTGTGTTAACTGGGACCTACATGTTGTGCATCAGCTTTAGTGATTTCTTTACTCATTGTGAATTTCCCTGCACTTGAAAGTAAGGCCTTGTTATCCACTGTTGTTCCCAGTTTTCACATGATAAGTTTACACCCAGCACGTTTGAGCCTGTGACTGACTCAAGTTAAAAATTAGACTTCAACATTATCATTGTAATCCTGTCAACAAACTGAGTGATTATTTTGCTCTCCAGGATCTGTTTGATCACTATATTTAAAAGTCTAGATGAGATTTAAACTATGTCCGTGTTTGAAAAGCATGTTTAAGCTTTTCCTTACCCTTCTCAAAACACACACATGGTTGGTTCTTTAGGCTTCCACTTAGTTTTTTTTAGGTAGTTTTAGGCAGTTTTTAAAAATTTAACATATTTCTAAAAATAGTTCGAATTACAGTTGATTCTTTAAGCTATTGATAGATGGTTTTTAAAAATTTTTAAATATTTCTAAAAATAGTTCAAAATAGTATTTTCCCAAATTTTTGTTGTTACAAATACATGTTGATTTTTAACCTTTGTCAAGAGAGAGAAATCAAGTGAACAGTTTACCCTTAACAGAGCAGTAGCTTTTCTACAGCTAACATGCAAAATTAAAATGTTTATTAAGGATAATACACTTATCCTTACAAGTGAACTCAATATTCTAATAATGTCCCTTTTGTCAACATTTTGATATTTTGATGAACCATTTCTTTTTCTCTGAGAATATTTCCTCTTTTTACAAAAACACCTCTTTCCATTATTCTTCAGCTCATTTACTATTTTTGCTTTTCTTAAGTCATTAGTAAAGATGTTATAATTTAGTTGTTAACTAACTTCCAGTTGAAAATATTGGTCCATCTTTCTAATTTATGGCAAACTGGATGTTTTGGTTTTACCTTGTTCAGAAGTGTAAAATTCATATTCAGATCTATTGAATTAATTTTACTTTAGTAAAATTGTTGTTCATTGTTTTATAGAAAATTAAGGCAGAAAATGTTTCAATAGATGAGTAAAATCCTTTCTCCTTTTCTTCAGATCTCATGTCTATCAACTCCACTTATGTAGTATTCTTTTTTTCTAAACNCCCCACAGTTTGATAGGTGTGCAGTTCCCCTGTCTCCCTGCTAGGGATCCTGACTGAGGGTTTTCCCTCAATAAACACTTTTTTGGCAGGCCTGGTGTATATGTTGCTTGACCATTTGCCATTGGCACACAAACCAGAAATAGAACTTCCATTTTGATGTACTTTAATAGCTTCTTATTATAAGGAATGATGCCCTAATGAAATACTATGTATACCTGTAAGAACCTTCCTTGTCTGCTGAGGTTAGGAGAAATAAATCCAGTCATCATCACTGAGGGTTCAAAGTGCTAGAGATTTCTCTGTCACTAATCCCCTCCTAGGTCTATAATATGTTTGGATAAACAGTTATAATCTGTTTGGATACCATAACATTGCTATACCAAAACTTTTCATATGTCCCTACCCAACTGTTAATTTAGTGATTTTTTTTTCACACCTAGACAAAAAAATACCAAACAAAGGAATTTCAACTACATAGTTTTAATGTCATTGTTAAAAGTTTATATTTCTATCAAAGGTGTTTTAAAAATATTGGGTTGTCAGAAAAGTCATGATGTATTTTTTCTATGTTTTTCAGTGCAAAAATGCGTCATGACTTTTCCGACAACCCCATATTATTTTCACCCCTTTTCAACTTTACAGTTTATGGATTAGAAAGATTTTTAAACACTAGGGTAAAGCACATTTATTGTAAGTAAGGTTTTATGCCTTGTTATATTATAGGAATTTAATAATGTTTATTATAGAAGTGATAAGATAAAATAATATTCATACTTTTAAAATACATCTCTAAGGTAATGGTATTTGACATAATTTAATTAAAATTTGAATAAATTGTTTTACAACAAAAGATAATCTTGTTTGCTAAAGTTTTTATTTATTGTGTTTTTCAAGTCTTTATCTGGAGAAATGCAAAGGTTAATTTTATATATAATTGAGTGACTAATCTTTTTTTTCTTATATAGTCATATATTCCTGTTAACAGAAATCCATAGATGCCAGGTAGTTCCTCATTATTTTAATGAAATTATTGCCTGATTTAAGCCCTTGACACCACTGGATAAAGTTATTTTAAAAGTTTGTAATAAGCTATCCATATATAAGTCCTGGAAATTTTGTTTTATTAACTGTTTTGTCAAATAGAGATAAATACAAATATAGGGCCGGCTGAGTGGCTCAGTTGGTAAAGAGCTCGCTCAAGAGTTTGAGCTCTGAGCAACAGCGGTTTGAGTCCCCGCCTGAGCTGAGCAGCCGCTGAGCTGCCAACAGGTGGCAGGATGACTCAGCTAAAAACAAACAAACAAACAAAAACCACAAAAATATAAATATAGATGAGAGGAAGAAGGAAGTAAAGGGAGAGAACGGAGAGAGGGAGTTTGCTAGGGTTCTTAACAATACCATTTAGCATTAGCATACTCTATATTTTTAAATAGCTAAGTTTTTCTTCAAACATTCAAAATAAATACTGTTAGAAATCATATTTTAATAATATTGTTCCCATCTTAATGTTAGGTCTTCAAACATGAACTAGCTTACTTACTGACCGGAATTCTTGGAGCAGCGATAGATTATTGGATCTTCCTTGGTCTTAAGATGGGTAGAAATGTGATGCGACACATGTCTGAGGACTTCGGAAGCTATGTTTCCCTTTCATGTGATGGTAAGTGTGTCTGTGTTATGTTTTTCTTAGACCCATTGTGGAAATTAGTTTTGAGTTTCCTTTAACATATTTTCATGTGAAGCTTTCCTTAAAAGTTATAAATATACACACACACACACACACACATACACACACACACACACACACACACACACACGTGTGCACGTATCCATAGAAACATAAAGAGGAAGGTAAAAATTACCCATGAGTGCTCCCACACAGATAACCACTGTTAAGTTTTTAATATATTTCTTTCCAGTATTTCTAAGCATTTTTACATTTACTATATATGTAATATTGTATTCTTTCTCTAAATGTTATATGTGCCCTCCCCCAACACACACATTTTTATTATTATAAAATATTATTTTGATGATTTTATGAAAATTGAAATTAGATTATAGTATAGAAAATAGTACCTGGAAATAAATTATTATGTTTATATATAATATTGTTTTCCTTAATCCTATAACTAAAAATTAAAATTAAACCATCCTATGTAACTAAACATTTAACCAGACAAATTAAAAATCAGTTTATTCTCTTTCATTGGAGATCAGCTGTTTTGTGTATAATGTTTTTGAATCTCACATGGTAAGAACTATTTTCAATATCTTTAATACTTCTAATTGTTGAAGTTGAGTAGAAAGCATTGTGTGTCTCTAATTTTTTTTTTTTTT